TAGTCCACTGATTTCGTTCACTCACCAACTTGATCAGCAGCAGCAGTGTTTGTGACACAGCTAATGGAGGCAGATGAAGCACTCTTAGCGCCCAATTACCACTATTTGTATAAATAATAGTACTGCTTCTTGGAGTCATAACTCCGTCAAATCTTGACTGACATGATATGTTTAGATTCAGTGTGACTTACATTTCCAGAGGATATCATTATACCCCATCCATCGTGAAAAACTGTCCAGAAATCAACATATAAATCACAAAAAAGAGGCTCCTTATAACTCCAGAAGATTATCATGTTTTCTTCAGCATCAAACTAATCCAGTGATAGTTGGTCATACCTGAATGGGTACACTGCAAACAGGAACAGCTAAAAGCTAATTTAGTATATTTTCAATGTCTCCAATTTGCCAAAATTTAAACAAACGGTTAAAAAAATGTTCAAGTGCTCAAGTTGTAGCCCACAGCTATCTTGTTGACTGTTTACATCCCCCAAAGCCCCCAAACTATGCAAACTGTAGTTCCTAAACTTAGAGCATGATTATCCCCCAGATATAAGTAAAACAAAGAAAAATAATAGGAGTCACAAAATCTGTTAATATGAACTTTATGTTGCACTATCAATATGTTTTGTGAGATTACTCACTCATTACTCAGAATGTCTGAGTGTTCTTCTACTTCTGGAACACTGACACTCTTCCCTGTCCATTCATATACAGCTACTTGTGTTGAAAACCTGCATACCAAAAACTAGTGGTTGCAGTCCAGTTGATCTGAGGGTGGCCCACAGTGTCGCAATTTGAAGGTAATATGTTTGTTTTTCTGTCTTTTGCAATGTTCTTGAGCCAAACAGTTTCACAGATGCAAGACAAATGACTAAAACTAGAAAAACAATCTTGCAAAGTCATCAGCATCAAATATCATCATCTTCATCCCAACGTCCACTGTGCCATCAACATTAACAAAATCAGCATCAGTATTTTCATCATCATTATTACCCCCCCC